AAAAAAAAAAATTAGCTGGGCATGGTGTTGCGTGCCTGTAGTCCCAGTTACTTGGGAGGCTGAGGCAGGAGAATGGCTTGAACCTGGGAAGCAGAGGTTGCAGTGAGCCTAGACCCTGCCGCTGCATTCAAGCCTGGGCAGAACCTTGTCTTAAAACAAACAAACAAACAAAAAAAACCAAAAAAAAAAACCCATTAAGCTGAACAAAAAATTGCAACATTTGAAAAGCAAATCTTTGTTTACCCTCACACCTGCACTTAAGTACAGAGCTAAAATGGGAGACAGAAAGCTTTCTCACATGTTTTCTCAAGTGGATGTAGCATAGCTGCTAAGATTTAGGAAGGTGAAGCTATATTTGGTAACTCAATTAAAATAACCACATTCTCAAGTTACTTACTGGGAAACCATGGTATTCTTAGTATTTTTAACTTGTTGAAACCTGTGCTAATGTTGGCTTTTTCCTCCTCTCCTAAGTAACTATAATCATCTTAGAATTAGCATTCAGCAGTAGGTATAATTAGTTTGTTTTTTGTTTTTAGCAGAAAACAAAGAATCATAGACTCCAAGGATGTGGCTACTGTGGTGAATGTTCTTCAATTAATCAAGGAATTTTAGATTCGCCCCCTGCAGCGCAGGAGTAGTACAATATACCTGAGAAAAAAACCAGAGATACTGAACAAACTTAAGCCTGTCACACAGAGCAAATCAAATTTATTTATTTATTTATTTATTTATTTTTTTTTGAGACGGAGTTTCGCTCTTGTTACCCAGGCTGGAGTGCAATGGCGCGATCTCGGCTCACCGCAACCTCCGCCTCCTGGGTTCAGGCAATTCTCCTGCCTCAGCCTCCTGAGTCGCTGGGATTACAGGCACGAGCCACCATGCCCAGCTGATTTTTTGTATTTTTAGTAGAGACGGGGTTTCACTATGTTGACCAGGATGGTCTCGATCTCTTGACCTCGTGATCCACCCGCCTCGGCCTCCCAAAGTGCTGGGATTACAGGCGTGAGCCACCGCGCCCGGCTCAAATCAAATTTATTACTTCACAGCTACATATTATCCCATTGTTTGGGGCAACTCTGAGTGTTATAGTCCTGTTTTTGAATTTAGGGAAAGCATGGTAAATGTTAATGTCTAGATTTCCTCCAAAGGCTGGAGGAAATTTCTTTTTTTCTTAGACTGAGTCTCGCTCTATTGCCAGGGCGAGGCTGGAGTGCAGTGGCGGTATCTCAGCTCACTGCAACCCCCGCCTCCCGGGTCCAAGAAATTCTCCTGCCTCAGCCTCCCAAGTAGATGGGACTACAGGTGCACGCCACCACGCCCAGCTAATTTTTTTATTTTTTAATAGAGACGGGGTTTTACTATGTTGGCCAGGATGGTCTTGATCTCTTGACCTCGTGATCCGCCCGCCTCAGCCTCCCAAAGTGCTGGGAT